TAGATCATCTGGAATTCAGCTATACTTCTTCGACACTGATGAAGAATTAGCAAAGAGAGCTGCTACTTCTGATAAGTTGCGAGTAACCACATTAAGACTCCTTATGCGCATTCTTAGCGACAATCCTTATGCTAAGTTCTTCAGAAACCTTAGGCATGTTCCAAACATTAACAACCTGAACATTGTACTTAGTTGTTATCCCGCCTTGACCAGCGAGTTTATAACCTTCTGCGTCCCAAGTTGCAGCAATATGGACTGAAAATCAAGATGAATCAGACCATACGGGAGCTCATATTCAAGTCTATACTCATTCAAACAGCAGCTATAGAATTAAACATTACTATGGCTGTTATGATCCATTGCAATACCCTATTTTGTTTCCCCGTGGTGAATGTGGGTGGCACCCTGGAATTAAAAGAGCTCGAAAAAGAAAAAGAAGAGAGGATTCCTGTGAGGAAGATATCGACATTCATCCTTCTTCGGTCGATTCTCCATCAACTTTATTCGCCGTGAACAAAGAGGCAAGTTATTTGTTCCGGTTCTAGCCAATTGCTTGTACCCATTTTTTTACATTATAAGATACCATCAACCTAAATAACTACTCATCATTTTTCTCTAGCTGCTGATCGTTCAAAAAATGAGGAAGACACAGTGTCAGCTAGGGAATACTACTGTTACAGATTTCAGATCAGGGATGATGACGAATCAATGTTGCTGCACACACTTAGACTATTACAACAGTATGCAGTAGATGGTTATGTTAAGATTGAAACGTCTAGACTTGATTTTCATAGAAACGAGAACAACATTCGTTCTGAGGTTCTTCAAGGAGTCCTAGACAGTGTTTCTATAGGCCAGACCGATGCTTGTAAAGTTGGCCGCAGAACCATATTACCAGCTTCCTTTATAGGTGGACCACGGGACATGAGGCGTCGATATCTTGATGCAATGTCCCTTGTGCAAAAGTATGGCAAACCGGACATCTTTCTTACTATGACCTGCAAGCATGGAAGGAAATTCAAGATAATCTAGAGTACCATGAAAAACCTCAGGACAGACCGGACCTTCTGGCTAGAGTTTTTAGAGCCAAGTTTGAATTGCTAAAATCAGAACTTGTGACCAAACAAATCTTTGGAGAAGTTGCAGCCTATGTTTATGTGATTGAGTTCCAGAAACGTGGATTCCCACATGCGCATATGCTACTAATTTTGAAGCCTGAATACAAGCTCCTAATCCAGAATCATATGATAGAGTGGTCTGCGCTGAAATACCTGATCGTTCTAAACATCCTCACCTATATTCGCTTGTTGTGAAGCATATGATTCATGGTCCTTGTGGTGATATGGATAGAACTTGCCCTTGTATGAAAGATGGCCGTTGTAAATATCACTACCCAAAGAGTTTTTGTTGCCAAACGACTCATGCTGAAGATAGTTATCCACAATACAGGAGGAGGGATGATGGTAGAAAAATCACAGTCCGAAGGCATACTCTTGATAACAGATGGGTTGTGTCTTATAGTCCCTATCTGTTAGCTACATTTGACTGCCATATCAATGTAGAAATTTGCTCGACTGTTAAATTGGTGAAGTAATGTATAAGTATTTTTCAAAGGCCATGCTCAATCAGTTTTAGAGTCGTTTCACACCATGCCTCTGATGACACTGAAATAAAGGAATTTCAGCAAGGCAGATGGATTTCACCTCCTGAAGCTTTTTGGCGCATTTTTGAATTTCGCTTAAGTGAAATAACTCCAGCAGTCTATACTCTCCAGATCCACCTTCCAGACCAACAGTTTATTTCTTTCAACAAAAACTCTGATCTATTGCAATTATTGAGGAAAGTTGATTTTTCAAAAACCATGTTAACTGAATTTTTCCATATGAACAAAACAAATGTGGTTGCGCAGAACCTTAAATGTCTTTACAAGGATTTTCCTCAATTTTTTGTTTGGTCTCCTAAATATAAAAGATGGACTGAGAGGAAGCGTCGAAAAGTGATTGGTAGAATGGTTACTGTTAGTCCAGCAGATGGAGAAAGATACTACTTGAGACTTCTTCTGAATCATGTTCATGGCCCAACTTCTTTTGACGATATTTTGACGGTTGCTGATCAGAAGCTGAATTCCTTTAGAGGAGCTGCTTTAGCATTAGGCCTTTTGCAATCTGATACTTACATAGATGATACACTCCAAGAAGCCGTGGCCTTCCAGATGCCATCTTCCTTAAGATTGCTATTTGCCACTTTGCTTGTTCATTGTTCTCCAGTAAATCCTCAGCTCCTGTGGGAAAAATTTCGCCATGACCTCTCTACAGATTATCAGCACGAACACTCATTTTCTGTTCTTACTCCTTCAGAGATCATAACAAGAACGCTACAAGACATTAACAGATCATTGGAGCAGATGGGAAAAAGAATTACTGATTACCAATTAGCTTCAGATGATTTCCATTCTCCTTTCCATAAACGATTGACACAGGAGATCGAAAGCGAAAGAGGATTGCATGTTGCTCCAGAGGATCTCTTACTCTCTCTCAGATTGAACTCTGAACAGAAAAATGCTTATGACCGAATTCTTGCAGCGTGTTTTTCTGCTCAAGGCGAAGCTTTTTTTATTGATGGTCCAGGAGGGACCGGTAAAACATTCTTATACCGATCACTGCTTGCTACATTAAGATCACAGGGTTACATTGCCATTGCTGTAGCCACTTCTGGAATTGCAGCTTCTATTCTTCCTGGAGGGCGAACAGCACACTCAAGATTTAAGATACCACTGGACTTTTCAAAGAATAAAGCTTGTCAACTTAGCAAACAAAGCAGTGTTGCCAAGTTGCTTTTAGAGTGTAAGCTTATTCTTTGGGATGAAGCATCAATGGCTAAGCGAGAAACGATTGAGGCATTTGACGATCTACTTAAAGATATAATGGATTCTAATTTGCCTTTTGGAGGAAAAGTTGTAGTTTTTGGTGGAGACTTTCGCCAAACTTTGCCGGTTATTGAACGAGCAACAAAGCATGCCCTCATAGAATCAAGCTTTCCTAACTCTGTTCTCTGGTCTAAGTTACACAAACTGAAACTCATGCAGAATATGAGAGCCATGTTAGATCCTGCTTTCTCTGAGTTCTTATTAAGAATAGGCGAGGGAAGAGAGCCTGTAGATGCACATGGCCAAATCACTTTACTACCTGATATAGTTATCCCTTATTATGATAAAGATCAATCTTTAAACAGGTTAGCAACTACATACAGTTATACTTTATCTAGCTTATTCTTTATTTTCAGCCCTGTCTTTCATTGATTCTAGCTACTTATAACTCTAAACAGGTTAGTTGAGAGTGTTTTCCCAGATTTGCAGCTATATTCTAAGCATCCTTATAGGATGATAAATAGATGCATCCTTGCTCCCAAAAATAGCTCAGTTGATGAGCTGAATGAGCTATTAATAAACAAATTTCCTGGAAAACTTCAAGTTTATATTAGTTCAGATCGGACTGTTGAGCAGCGGCACCAAGGCGACTATGAAGATTTTCTAAATTCGCAGAATCCAAAAGGACTTCCTCCTCATAAGTTGCTGCTAAAAGAAAGCTGTCCTATTATGCTTTTAAGGAATTTAAATCCTAATGAAGGATTGTGTAATGGGACAAGGTTAATATGTAGAGAGCTTAGCTTGAATATCATTTCTGCAGAAATTGTTTTTGGCATTCATGCTGGCAAAAGAGTCTTCATCCCAAAAATACCTCTTCAGACCTCTGACAACGAAAGGAATGGGATTCCGTTCATAAGAACTCAATTTCCTGTCCGCCTTTGTTTTGCTTTAACCATTAATAAGGCACAGGGACAAACTCTTGACTATGTGGGTCTTTACTTGCGTGAACCTGTTTTTTCCCACGGACAGCTTTACGTTGCACTTTCTAGAGCTAGAACTGCTGCTGACCTTAAAGTTCTTCTTGTTCCTGGAACTTTTGATGAGAAAAAGATTGACTGCAAAACTAGGAACGTTGTCTTTAATGAAATCTTTCATTTGACTCAGCAGTAAAGATTCTGTCTAATTCAAGTATATTTTTGAATGAGGTACACATACATATTTATCTTTCTTTAACAAATATACTCTTACACTTAACCTGTGTACTAATACTTAGTTATGTATATTTTGCTTTCATACAGAATGGCTAACTTGCTGCCTATCCAAGACATTGTCCCTTTCATGAAGAATTGGAGTTGCATCATCACTGTTCAAGAAAAGCAACAGATCACTGACTCAAAGGGAACGCCAACAAAAAAACAAAAATTTATCTTCTATGATACACAGGTTAATGCCCCTTTGTACCCGTTCTCTTTCCTATGGTTGTGATAACAAAATTTCCTGTTTTTTAGCTAATGCTATACTCGCTGCTTCTGTATCCCAGGGATCAAAAGTGGAAGCAATAATCTTCAATGCTGATATTCCTAAAATGAGTCCGCTCTTACGTGTTTACAAAAAATACAAGATCACGAATGCTGAAGTGAAGCCTATCCCAGCAAAATTTCAGACAAGTGAGCTCACTATCCAATGGGTGATCAGCACTAAAACTGTCATTCAAGAAATAAATGATGATCCTACTGAAATCATGCCTGTGAAGTTTACCTATACAAAATTTACTAATTTAGTGCATCATATGGATGAGAAGAATAAATCAGTTGGTAAGTCTCTCGAGAAATTAATATTGCTGTACTTACACTGTTATTAGTACCTCTTCCATGATGGTGGTTCTCTCTTTACAGATGTGCTAGGCGTTGTGATTGCTGCACTAGACATGAAGACGTTGAATAGAAACTCAAAAGAATCAAATGTTCAAAAGTTTGTCCTTCTTGATGAAGAGTGAGCATCTCATTTCTTATCTTAATCGCAAATGTGAATTAAATTATTACCTACTTATTACTTATATTAATAATCATTACAGGTGTCAAACTGTATTGCTATCTTTATGGGAAAAGAAGAAGAAAAAATCAATGACAGCTCGCACGAGAAGAAGAAGAACAAGAATTTTGGTGGACTCGAGAGGAGAGGAGCTTTCTATATGTGCCTCGCTCGTAGGCAAAATTTGGTTTCCACAATGCCGTATGCGACTGTCCCATCCTAAATGTACAAGAAAAAAAAAGGGGGCGAAGACACAATCCCCCATGCATCTGATATACCTGATTCATTCATCCAGTCAGAAGTAACACGCTGCTGAAAGCCAGATCGCCCAGGATTTGATGACCACCGGAAACTACATACATACGAGCAGAAGCTCAAACTATTCTATTTCTCATCTCATAATACATCAAAACAATTCCTTTGAGCGCCCTTGGAACTTCACAAGCCACGAGGAAAGTTGTTAATTTGCCCTTCCTCCAACATATCTTTGTTGTTCGACTTATACCCTATCCGTATGCGCATAACAAGGGATTTCTGGAAGCAAAAATCATTTCAAGTTTCGTCAGAATAGTACCAACAATATGACCATTTTTAAGTTAGTAATATACTTTGTGCCCTCCCACCGTATTTTAGTTAAATAGTAGCCTGATTTAATTTTTAACTCCGCCGCCACTTAATGGGATGAATTTTTAATTGGAACATCTGCAAGTCATTGGCAAGAAATGGTAGTGGAACCGGTTTGCAATCAACAGGCATGTAGCGGAAAAGTACAGACACAAATCTCATAATCTATCTTAGCGAGACAAAGGCCTCATTTTCAGTTGATTATTTTAGCTGATCATAGATTCTGATTTTGGATAATTACTTTTTTTTTTTCATGTTTTCGTTTGCTTTTGCATTTAGATTATAATCCTAATTTAAGTCACTTTTCATAATCAAAACTGATGCAAAATAAAAAGCACATGCGACACAAAGCTAAACAGTAGAGAAAGAAGGATTCAATTACCTTGCCATGTTGGCTGTTCGTAATTCGCAATTTTTGGGAGATTGATCCATTACCACTTGCAGGAAGTGTATCACTGCTGGCTGGATCCAAATGTAATTGAAGAAACTGTAATTGTAAACATAACATATCGTCACCGAGTGTTTTAGACAAACCATATAAAACTGCTCAGTGCAGATTGACCCATCCAGTTTCACAAAAAAATCAACTGACTCAAAGTTCATATGGGAATAAAACTAGCATCAGAACCAACGTGAATAAGGGGGTTGTTTGGATAGTGAGTTATTTGCACAATTTTACTTGCTTACATCAACAACATATTTTCCAACCACCCTTTTATCTCACATACATCACATTTAAAAAGTGCTACAGTATTTTTTTCCTTTCAAAAACTTATCCCAAATAATCACTAGAAGATTTCTAAAAGCACCATTCATCAATAGAAATGCATCTTAACTTCTTCAATACAACTTCCTTAACAAAATATTCAGGTCAAAACATGCTAAATACCAGAAAATAGAGCAAATTCAAGTGTTTCACTACCAACAAATGTGCATTTCCAGCACCAATTCACAATCATCAGTTCTGCATAAGAGGATGGGAGCAGAAAAGTTTAATATTTTTACCAGACAGTTTACTTGATCTGCGAAGCAGTGAGTATGACATGCAGAGAAACACAAAAGAAAAAAAATTCTGAGATAATAGAGATTCCCAGAATAAAGCAGGATTGTACATCTGATGCTGTGGAACTCCCCTCTTCATATACAAAATATAACTAGAAACATAAAGAATTGGAAGATTGTCCGCCAGATTATGATATTACCTTTGGCACTGCAGCCTGGAAGATAAAGTCCGTATAAGCATCAAATGTCTTATTTGAAAAGTTAGCTTCAATAATTGTCGTCTGCTGGTTTCCGGGCTGCTTGGAAAAGTTAAATGTCACTTGCAAGGTGCTGCTCTCAAATGCAACAATTGAAGGATAAGCTGGAACATTGTTTTCTGTCACAATAGACAGGAGAAATGATATTTGAGGGGAAAAATAATAATAATAATAACTCCAAGCTATTATGACCACTAATGAAAACCATACCAGGTTTTGGAGCGAAACCATCCAACAAATCCATCATAGGAGAACTTCCAGGAGGGGTGGATACACCTCCAGCTGGCGCAGAAGGTGAGGACAATTGCTCCAAGACATTTATAGCACTTTTGCTGTCATCACTAGGGGAAACCATCTCAGGAATAGAAGAGTTACTTTGAGCAGGAGGTGTCCCAATTGATAGAAGATCCAGCAGGACATCAGTGCCTCTTTTCTGCGCCTGATTTGTGTCTGAAGTGCAATCACCAAATGGGAAAAAAAAGGTATGAAATAACAGAAACATGGGTTTAAATTATCAAAAACGACAATTCTTGCTGTACCAACACAAACCTGTTTGTGACAAAGATGGTGACAAATCAACACCAAGAAGATCCTGAAGAAAATCTCCACCAGAAGAGCTAGGTACTGGTACGTCATCTGAACTAAGATCCAGCAAATCAACCAGTGGTGCGGATGTCGTTTTGGCAACTCCATTAGGAAGATTAATAGGAGCGCCTTGTGAAGTTGAAACAACTGCTGGCACTGAACCAGCCCTCCTTCCACTATATGTGGCCTCATCAAGGACTGGCATCCTTTCGACCAGTGTAGACCTGAATGTAAGTGTCCACCAGCACTTTCAATTAGGTAAGGAGCCTAAAATAATGAAACTGGCAGAAATGCAAATAGGTGAATGAAACTACATGGCCCAGATCACTTAATGAGATAAAAATATATCAGTACCTAATATTCCGATGTTTATCAACAATCGCACTAAACTCAAGGGCTCTCTGTTGTAGTTCAAGCACCAAGCTTCCTTTATACTGAACAATAACATCGTTTATCCTCCTACAAGGTTAAGTATGTATTAACTAATTGTTGCAAACTCTTCCACAAGAAAATGGGGTCAAGATTTGGAGTAGAAGTGATCACCATCATATAATGGAAGCTAAAAGAACTACATACACTGAACAAGATGGAAAACGACTTGACAGCTTCAACAAAGCAACGAGACACATTGCCCGACTAGTGAGATCTGAAGAATGCCGTTTGATAGCTGTCTCTACAACATCCACAGCATCCGACTCCGTTACCTGCTTTACAGAATAATGCCTGTCAAGCATGTCAAAGAAAAGGAAAGCACTAACATGCAGTAACATGAAGCAAGCATGCAAAAGATTTGTCATATGCTTAAATTTTTTTCAGTCCTAACAGTCAATCTTGTTATGAATAGCAAGCCTGTGGTCCAGAACAATATTACAACAAGATGAAGTAGGCATGAGCAGGCCTGTGGTCTAGAATAATATTACAATAACGAAATTGTTAATCTACTTACATTAAGCAAGATCATTGGATAATGCATTATTAGCAACAAGTTCTCATTCTAAACCAACATTGCTAGCCAAGGGTACTCCCCCCCACTAAAAGATAAAAATAACAAGAAAAAAGAGAAGAGGAGAGAACAAAGAAAACTTTTCAAAGCTCTGCAATTTGATCAGATCTCTTAATAAAACAATCGCGGCAAGACAAATTACAAAGTCAGATGTGAGTATGGACATGTAAGTATATCTCATTTTAACTCTAGTCCAAGCTAAAAGCATTGGCAAATCTCCCCTAAAAGCCGCAAAAGTTTGAGAGCAGAGGCAACATTGTTCAAATGGGACCATGAAAATATGAACATATTCGACCCCGCAAAAGGTAGAACATTGGGAAAGATAAGGGAGGACAAATTTTTTTGTAGGAATTAACTTACGGTTATTGGCTCCTCCATATCAAGGAATCCAGTGTTATTGACCAACATATCACCATATTCTCCTATGCACCAAACTGCAACTCGAACGAGAATTTCCTAATGCAAAAATAGCAGAGACATAACAACAGCCACCACCGGAATGTTAATAGTATGTCAAGTACCTGATCACCTGCTGTTTGGACTAATCTGTACAAAGACCTTACAGCATATCCGTGAAGATTAGAAGCATTTGTAATAACGACAATAAGAGCATGCCATACTTCATCTTTGACATAATTTCCAGCCTGCAGACCACAGTACAGAATCAGCACTGTACCAGGAAAAGTAAGACAAGCAGCAATAAGGACAGCATTAACCCAACACCTCCAACACATGAGGAACTTAGTCTTATCAAATAAAAGATGGACTTTATCTTAGTGTGAATTAAAAAAAAAAAAAAGAAGAATAAAAAAAACATGACAAGTCCATAATAACTGCCTTCTCGTAAACTTAATGCATGTCTAACAATCACCTTCGCAAACCAACTCAAAAGAAAATATCAAGTGACCATCAGAAACCTATTGAGTGCATCAGTTTCAAAAAATTCTCTAGCACTTTAACAAGTCCATATACCATGAAAGGTGAGAGAGAGAGAGAGAGAGAGATTGAGAGTGAGATAAGAGATGCTCATGCTCTCTAAATCATATGATTCTTCATAATGATTTGTTTGAAAATATACAACATTGCATAAGATATTGCGTTCGGTTTACTAAATGACACACTTAAAATGCAAAATTATATCTCATGATCTAGATGAAAACCACCACAAGTGGCAAGGAAAAAAAATAAGAACCAGAACAATAAAAGAAAGAAAGTTTTTTGGCATCCAATTTAACTTCGGGTTGGAGGAAAAGGAATCAAAGGCCAACCCTTGAATGAAAAAATGATATGTGATGTCCATGTCAGTATTAAGGCCAGAATTTAACAAATAGTTTAGGATCAACAAAATGGACTATCTGCAAACTTCAAATGTACCTCTGAAAGAACCTTGAGCATCTGATCAATGTACCAAATTTTCTCTGGGGAAAACCTAGCACAACAGGACAACAATAAATAGACTATATATTAAATAACATGCCACAGAGAACAGCTGGTAGTATTTTACTGAATTCTTTGACATTCTTTACCAATCCCCAGTGCAGTGTCGTGGATATCAACTACTATCATGAAGAACACATGGAAATGCAAGGAAGTGAAAACCAAAATCAAAAGAAAAAAATAGAAAAATTTCACAGAGAAGCTAAGAAATAGAAAGCAATTGATGGAAGACAACAAAGAAAGTTAACATACTGATGCATCTATATTCTAACAGATGTAGTGTAAGACTTTTATTTCTGGTGCATCAAAAAGAGAGAGGAGTCCATCTCTAGGCTAACTTTACAACTGGGTAGAATGCAATAATCGGAGCATCCAATTGAATCATCCAAACTAGAGTATGTGAATGCCTTCACAAACATATACCCAATATTATCAGCAAGAACAATTCTCAATAGAACTACTGTTCTGCATTAGTAAATAATACAACAATCAAACCACTGCAGAAGCATAACATCATAGTCTAAGCATGAAACTAGAGAAATTGAGCCTTTCAACTTACTTCTCCACAATCGAGCAAATTTTGGCAGTAAGATCTCCTCTGAACTCTGGTTCACTTACTTCCAAATAATCAATTAGTTCCTTGGTCAAAGGCTTCACATTGCTTTCATTTACCAAAAGATACACAAGTTCAAGGGCCCTTTTACGGATTGAGGCATCTGAATCCTGAGAATCAATAGGCAGCCATGAGCTATAATTTTAGAGGGTTGCAAAGAAAACTGTCACAAAGAGGTTTCAATTCTAAAACTGCATAATACAAACTAGAGAGTTTAAGCAGGTCCAATGACCAACAGAAGTCTAGACAGAGGGAAAGGCACAATCGTTGCAGCACTACAAAAATCAAGTTACAAAGAGACATTCTCTAGAAAATATTGCTTCAGATCATTCAAGGACCCGATGACAACAGATATACATAATTCTTCCCTGTTCATTCATCTTTGTTCTGGAAGTAGGCATGATGATTACTCATGAACCTAGATTAGTTGTTTTCTTGAAAAACCCTACAATGATAGACCTATAAACATAAACAAAAATAGGAAGTATACTATCCAGCAATTTTCTGGTCAGCAAAACAATAAATTCTGAAGGGCCAAAAACCCAGAAAAATAGAAGTCAAACTTTCTATAGCACTGGTAGTGGGTAGCTGCAGGTATGAAGTATTTGTAACTCTTAACAGCAAAGGTAAGATAAAAGTACACATACTACAATGGACAGGCTTGTGGGGAAAAAAAAAAGTCGGATGATACCTTAACACACTCCAAGATAGTGGCTCTGTGCCTCTGTACTGCTTGACTATCTACTGTAATAGCTCTCATCAGCATGTTTAAAGCAACATATCTGACAAATTCACATTCAAATTCCAATTCCATAAGATGAAAGAGCATGACCAACTATGCTGGCAGTATAAAAAAAGGGGTATTTTCACGTTCCCCAAGACAGACAGCCGTACACGTACAAGAGTGTCAAAGATAAACCATCCACAAAAACATCGCCTTTAAAACCATAGTGAACAATAATGGCACAAAACATCACCTCCAAACATCCACAGCGAAGAAAAATTTCAAAAGAAAAAGAAAAGCTATAGTGGCACAAATGACACAGATAAACTTTCTTTTTCTCCTGGCAACTATTTTCACATGACAGGTCTGATGAACAAAATGACATAACCAGCCTTAATGTCTCATTAAATGTGATGAAAACTATGCAAGCATTAGGAAAAAAAAGAACCTGATATTGTTGTCCCGATTGGACAAAAACCTGCCCAGTATATTGATCGCAAGGACCCTCAAGCCACCATTATCTTCAATACTCATAATGGCAGCAACACACTGGTAGAGGATAGCATTCCCGGCATTCTTGTTTGACTCAGTTTTGGTTGCCACCTAGAAAAAGAATGTAGAGTGCCAGTACAACAGTTAGTTCAGTTAGTTTAACAGTTCAGCATGAAAAGTTAAATATCCTATCTGAACAATGCATTATAGAAAAGAAAAAGGAAAATATCCAATATGCACAGCTGCAAACATAGTCTTCCAGTTAAACGAAGTTGATTAACATTTTCTTAACAACAAGTAGCTTTAAAATGCTACCATTTGCTTTTCACCCGTTATACTAACTTAAAAAGCTTTTTTAAAAAAAAAAAATCTATTTTGAAAGCACCAGTGGATACAATTTCTTAAATAGCTTTTCCCTTCCAAAACTTGCACTACAAAATACCTACAAAAGTTTTTCCGCCTTTTCCATGAATCATGTATTTTCAGTAGCTTTAGAAGGCTAAAACAAACAAGGTTCCCACAAGACTCTAAACATTACTAATAGGTTGAAGAATCATTCAGCGTGCAAGAAGGGGGAGCACAAAAGCGAACAGGTTAGTAAGTGGGGGAAAAAAAGACGTAAAACTCGGGTTCTGAACGAAGGATTAAACAGGCTGCTATTAATTAAGAATCGGAAAATTTTTTTATTGAAACTCAGTGACTGTTCAAAAAGGAAGAAATATCTAAACTAAACTTGTCAGCTGACGGAAAAAAAAGTTCTTTTAATGCCCCAACGAAGTTACACAAGAAGGAAGAGTCAAGGGGGTTCCATGATAAGGAAATACAAAAATATGGCAGAAGCATGGGATAAGACTTCGTTATGTACTTAACATCACTGTAATTAACTCTACGGTATTCCCCGATTAGAAAACCCCGTGATTTGTGCAAAGGGTGTAAACAAAGTTCCACATTTGATGGCAACCTCAGTCATTGATGCATTACAAACATGTCACACATAGACATTTAAGGAACTGGTGTTCCAGAGTGATAAGAGGAATCATTAGCATAACAAGATCCAGAAGAAACACAAGTTTGAAATTTTTCTTAAAAACTAGTAAAGGTCAAAATTATTTGAGAAACTATATTGGAGCTAGCACATCGCAGAAACACTTGGAAACAAACAGCAACTGACCTGAGCAAGAATATCATTCATGCAATCACTAGTGTCAACATCTCCCTGTCCAAGTACACATAAAAACCTGAGCAATCTTACGTGAAGAAAAGGGTCAGTAATCCCCGCAATGTCATATTCTGGAGCATATGGACTATTCGCCAAATCCTTCAACACTTTCACCACACCCTCTGTGCATTTCTGATCCACAGCGGAAGAAGAAAACGGGAAATATGAAAATCCCATCAGTTGGAGAACTCAGAAAGCAATTTCTTTGCACGTCAACTTGTCATTGAAATTAACAAAAGCATATTTCCAGTCCAAGAATTACACTTGTTAACTATTAGTATAACAGTTCAAATGTAAAATCACATGGAAACATCATCAAATCTGAAAACATCCACACAATATCAACACATTGACCCAAGTTAGAATTGCACAAAATCAACCGTTTTTTTCTCTGAGAAGACCAAGCTTAAAGGTACCAGGTAAAGACAAAAAGAGCAGATCTAAGGTGCAGAAGTATCTCATTCTAAAATTTTAATTTGGTTGCGGAAACATGCTCCAACCTTAATGTTAATTTCTAGATCACGCAAAGTTGAGAAGGCAGTGCTTTGCCTTCATTTATCCTTCCCAGCTATAATCTGCTCCGTATCCTTTTCCAAATGAACCATGGAATTTAATGCAAGAAATACAGGATTTAAACAATTAAAAGAAGGGAAGATTTGAAAGAAAACCTTGGTCAAGCAAACATCACTTGAAACAGAGGACGCATAACAGTTCTTTTAACGATGTTGCTTTTCAGTCATAGAGGAAAATTGGAACTAGATTGCTACAAGAAAATCATCAGGATTCAGGATGTTTATCAGGTTGAAGATATCTCCCACAATCCAGAATCATCTAATCCAGCAAGGTAATGTTAAATTGGTGGACTGAATTCGTTCGATCAGCCTGGTTATCTATTGACCTAAAATTTTTGTGGAAAGAGGTGCTAAAGAACGTATAAGGTAGCATGCAGAAATTTTGGAGCTAATGTTAAATTTGCGGACTGAATTCATTCAATCAGCCAGGTTCTCTCTTGGCCTAAAATTTTTGTGGAAAGAGGTGCTAAAGAATGTATAAGGTAGCATGCAGAAATTTTGGATGAAGCTCAAAATTATGTGCAACTGACCATACTGAAGAGAAGGTAGATTTTGTTACATAGCAATAGTAGGTAGACAGAGAAAAAGCAAAATGTACCTTTCTGAAATATTCCAGTGCCTCTGAACTGACTTTGCATAAATCTGTGCAAAGCTGCACTCCTGTAAGGAGAACTCCATGGTGCTTTTCCTTCAGCAAAGAAGCGGCAGAATTTATAAAATTTTCTGCCAGATCTGGCACTTTCCTGATAATCCTGATAGTGCATAATGCTGCCTAAATTACAGAGAAGCTCCAATAAGAGTTACGTGATTCAAGAACAAAAGGAACAGAGAAAACAAGAAAAATAGGGCTTCATATAAATTTATAGCTTTATACAGTCAACTAAAGATACAAAAATCCAAAAATGCACATCCAGAGCTGCATGCGTATGAAAATGTTTAGTGAATTTCCTAAGCTGATGAGCCTCACGACCATATAACAGCGGCTTTTCACAGAATTCCTCGAGCAGAAAATGCTGACTGATAAATGAACTACAAGGTGCAAAAAAACTATCTGAAGTTTTGACACAGCAGATGCTCTCTCCAACTCAGTAAGTTGACTTTCTAATGTCCAAAGATGAAACTATAAAAAGAGGAGGCTAAAGCTGAAAAATTCCTAATCAACGTATATGATTGTTCTCATTTTGAAACAATAGCTCATAAATCAATTACTCTTTGGTGTTAGTGCATGTTCGCAACTTAACCTGATGACAGCATGGCAGTAAACATGAACCAAATTATAAAGTCAGTGCAGACACTAATACTTTAAAGCCAGTAGTGATTAAAAGATTGTGGAGACTTTACTTTCTTTCGGATGTTTGGATCTCTAAATTGCAGAAGCCGTTCAACTTCTGGAGCAAGGTCGCGGGCCATTTCTGCAGAACAAATATTCCCCAAAGCACAAAGAGCAAGTCCAACAATGTACTGATTGGTGTGATTAAGATCTCTATTGATGAGTTAAGGTGCCTGAACTAATTTCCCAAAATCCGATAGAGCATCTATACTAGTGACAATTCTTATTAAATGAATGCATGTGCTACTTATTCCTATTTTTGTGACGGGAGAAAGAAAGGCTCGACAATTGAACAGTTTTACGTGCATAAAGCTGTTAAAAGTATTCCTCAACTGTTCAAATTTTTTTTCATACAAGGAATGGTAGAAGGAAAAAATAGTCACATTTCCATATGTGACAGTCACGTGAATAATTTTAAAATTTTGGTATGCATGGAAGGGAGATAAAATCGGTTATATTTTGAGAAATGAATACAAGGCTAATGCATATATTGTCTTGCATGGAAACTTGACATACTCAGTACGATTGCCTTAAGATTCTGATTCCCAAAATTTCATGAAATATTCTCATTCCTTTTAATTGCACAATCAACAAGGTAAGTTTCCATAGATATCACCCCGAAAACTCAATAAATTGAGCCTTCTCTTCCCCACCTTCACCACACAGAAGTTCGACTCTTCAATCCCCGATTAATATTCTTGTGAGAGTTTTTTGTGAGCCTTTGAGCAATTCTTGTGAGTCCTTTTTTTTTTTTTTTTTTGGAGAAATTCCCGTGAGTTTTTGTTTATCATCAATGGAAAATCATGCAACTTTCAACGTTCTCATGCTCCCATGGCTGGCTCATGGACATGTCTCTCCTTACTTGGAACTAGCCAAAAAACTCACCGCCAGAAACTTCAATGTTTACCTGTGCTCTTCCCCGGCGACCCTCAGTTCTGTGAGATCAAAATTGACTGAAAAGTTTTCTCAGTCAATTCATCTTGTTGAACTCCATCTTCCCAAGTTGCCAGAACTTCCTGCTGAGTATCATACCACCAACGGCCTCCCACCCCATCTGATGCCCACCCTCAAGGATGCATTTGACATGGCTAAACCAAACTTCTGCAACGTGTTGAAAAGTTTGAAGCCTGACTTGCTTATTTACGATCTCCTTCAGCCATGGGCTCCAGAGGCTGCCTCAGCATTTAATATCCCGGCTGTCGTGTTTATCAGCAGTAGCGCCACCATGACTTCTTTTGGGCTGCACTTCTTCAAGAATCCAGGTACGAAGTACCCTTATGGTAACGCAATCTTTTATCGCGATTATGAATCCGTTTTTGTTGAGAACTTGACAAGGCGTGATCGCGATACATATCGCGTTATTAATTGCATGGAGCGATCTTCTAAAATTATTCTGATCAAGGGTTTTAATGAGATTGAAGGGAAATATTTTGATTATTTTTCTTGCTTAACTGGCAAGAAAGTTGTCCCCGTTGGCCCTCTTGTCCAGGATCCTGTGCTAGACGACGAGGATTGTAGAATTATGCAATGGCTAAACAAAAAAGAAAAGGGTTCGACCGTTTTTGTTTCTTTTGGGAGTGAGTATTTTCTTTCAAAGAAAGATATGGAAGAGATTGCCCACGGTTTAGAGGTTAGCAATGTAGATTTTATATGGGTTGTGAGGTTTCCTAAAGGAGAAAATATTGTGATTGAAGAAACTTTGCCAAAAGGATTTTTCGAGAGGGTTGGGGAGAGGGGACTTGTTGTCAATGGATGGGCTCCGCAAGCAAAAATTTTGACCCATCCCAACGTTGGTGGCTTTGTGAGTCATTGTGGCTGGAATTCTGTGATGGAGAGCATGAAATTTGGCTTGCCAATCATAGCCATGCCTATGCACCTTGACCAACCTATTAATGCTCGATTGATTGAAGAAGTCGGCGCTGGGGTGGAGGTTTTGAGAGACTCAAAGGGAAAACTTCACAGGGAAAGAATGGCAGAAACAATTAACAAAGTCATGAAGGAGGCAAGTGGAGAATCCGTGAGGAAAAAGGCGAGAGAATTGCAAGAGAAATTGGAGTTGAAAGGAGACGAAGAGATCGATGATGTTGTGAAGGAGTTGGTTCAACTTTGTGCAACAAAGAATAAGAGAAATGGTTTGCACTACTATTAGCTCTTTTTCGTGTTTAGCATATGTGATGGTTACAATAGCACAACCATCAAGTATATTGTTTAGCATCTTGTGTTTTAACATGATGGTTATAATATCAGAACCATCAAGGCTTATTGATCAGGTTTTTTTGTGGTTGGACTAGGTTTTGATATGATGGTCAAAATGTTAGAACCATCAAAGATTATTATTGTCGCGTTTTGGTCGTTTGGCGTTTTATCTGTTCGTGAGTTTGCCGTAGATTGTTGGCATCTCAACGTACAAACATACGTCTACTGACATATTCTATGTTAGGTACTACGTTTTAAGTAGTAATATAATACCTACTTCAGTTTAAGTATTGTTACTTTGGAGTTTCACTTTTTTCTCTTTCATACTTTTGTAGTTTTTGGCGTTTGAATATCCTACTATTATAGACGATCCATTTGAATAATAATAATAATATTTTTTTCCCTATGAAAATCGATAAAATTTTATGAGGAAAAAAGAATATCTTTGCCTGATATGTTAATAATGATAAACCAAGAAAGGAAAAAGAACCGCCATGCTAATTAGTTGACAAAACTTTTGCACAAAAACTGACAAATTTCAACTTTATGATTCAATAAAGGCGAAATTAGTAGCATTATAAATTCTGTTGTACAGACTTACTATATGATGCTGTGGTATTTGATGAATGAGAAGAAGTCAAAATAAGACGGACATAAAATTTATTAGCCATACACACAGACAAATGTCTATACATTCGAGTGTGGAGACATTGGGCGTTAGGTAAAGTGCCAGGAAAGCCCTGGATCAAATCCAAAATTCTTTGGTTGAAGCATGGTCTTGAATTTGTTTGGTTCCATTTGTATTACCAAAACTTCACGCAAGCCGGAACACGTGAAAAGTAGTATATGGTTTAGCGTTTGGCAGTCAAACCCAAACGTAATGACAAGAAAGAAATGGAGCGGTTAGAAGGAGAAGATCCCAGGAACCGGAACAGGACCTACGGTATTAGCAAATGGAGCTAAAATCAGTAAATTCCGTCTCAACGGCGTTTAATAGAAATAATTCGAGGTGGCATTTTAGAGAAAAATGACAGAATCTGCATCTGCTCGGCTTTCCGAGTTCTGATTCAACTTGAACATGCAAAATCAAAAACAATACGAAAAACATTTGCCTTTTAAAAAGAGTCATTACACAGAATAAACATTGGATATTGCAATGCAAGGAAAACCTGTACCACAATCTTTCATTTGGAATAGAAGTCGGATCGACATCTAACGCTACTATGGATTACAAGCAGAATCGCGAAGGTTTTTTTTTTTTTAAAACAAAAAACTGCACCTGATACTTATAAAGAAGAAGAAAAAATCAATGACAGCTCGCACGAGAAGAAGAAGAACAAGAATTTTGGTGGACTCGAGAGGAGAGGAGCTTTCTATATGTGCCTCGCTCGTAGGCAAAATTTGGTTTCCACAATGCCGTATGCGACTGTCCCATCCTAAATGTACAAGAAAAAAAAAGGGGGCGAAGACACAATCCCCCATGCATCTGATATACCTGATTCATTCATCCAGTCAGAAGTAACACGCTGCTGAAAGCCAGATCGCCCAGGATTTGATGACCACCGGAAACTACATACATACGAGCAGAAGCTCAAACTATTCTATTTCTCATCTCATAATACATCAAAACAATTCCTTTGAGCGCCCTTGGAACTTCACAAGCCACGAGGAAAGTTGTTAATTTGCCCTTCCTCCAACATATCTTTGTTGTTCGACTTATACCCTATCCGTATGCGCATAACAAGGGATTTCTGGAAGCAAAAATCATTTCAAGTTTCGTCAGAATAGTACCAACAATATGACCATTTTTAAGTTAGTAATATACTTTGTGCCCTCCCACCGTATTTTAGTTAAATAGTAGCCTGATTTAATTTTTAACTCCGCCGCCACTTAATGGGATGAATTTTTAATTGGAACATCTGCAAGTCATTGGCAAGAAATGGTAGTGGAACCGGTTTGCAATCAACAGGCATGTAGCGGAAAAGTACAGACACAAATCTCATAATCTATCTTAGCGAGACAAAGGCCTCATTTTCAGTTGATTATTTTAGCTGATCATAGATTCTGATTTTGGATAATTACTTTTTTTTTTTCATGTTTTCGTTTGCTTTTGCATTTAGATTATAATCCTAATTTAAGTCACTTTTCATAATCAAAACTGATGCAAAATAAAAAGCACATGCGACACAAAGCTAAACAGTAGAGAAAGAAGGATTCAATTACCTTGCCATGTTGGCTGTTCGTAATTCGCAATTTTTGGGAGATTGATCCATTACCACTTGCAGGAAGTGTATCACTGCTGGCTGGATCCAAATGTAATTGAAGAAACTGTAATTGTAAACATAACATATCGTCACCGAGTGTTTTAGACAAACCATATAAAACTGCTCAGTGCAGATTGACCCATCCAGTTTCACAAAAAAATCAACTGACTCAAAGTTCATATGGGAATAAAACTAGCATCAGAACCAACGTGAATAAGGGGGTTGTTTGGATAGTGAGTTATTTGCACAATTTTACTTGCTTACATCAACAACATATTTTCCAACCACCCTTTTATCTCACATACATCACATTTAAAAAGTGCTACAGTATTTTTTTCCTTTCAAAAACTTATCCCAAATAATCACTAGAAGATTTCTAAAAGCACCATTCATCAATAGAAATGCATCTTAACTTCTTCAATACAACTTCCTTAACAAAATATTCAGGTCAAAACATGCTAAATACCAGAAAATAGAGCAAATTCAAGTGTTTCACTACCAACAAATGTGCATTTCCAGCACCAATTCACAATCATCAGTTCTGCATAAGAGGATGGGAGCAGAAAAGTTTAATATTTTTACCAGACAGTTTACTTGATCTGCGAAGCAGTGAGTATGACATGCAGAGAAACACAAAAGAAAAAAAATTCTGAGATAATAGAGATTCCCAGAATAAAGCAGGATTGTACATCTGATGCTGTGGA